CCCAAATTTTTTATAAATATAGCTAATAATATTTTTCTTTTTTATTATTATAAATTCTTGGGTTATAAAAATCTCCCACTAGTAATTTTAAGTCAAGGTTCTTGTTTTTTATTATTTTTTTTAACGGGAAGTCTAGGTTCTTGTGATTCATGACATTAGTGCAGGTCAAGCTCCTTGTCGTGTATTAATTTAGAGTTCGTTAAGCATAATTATGAATTTTTATTTTTATTTTTATTTTTATAATTTGTACAATTATTGAGAATCAAAATTAAAAAAATAAAAAGAAAAAACCAAGGGCTTGTTTTACAACGTTTTCATTTTCTATTTTTTGTTTTTGTAGCAAAAAATTTAGCAACATGACAATCAAAGCTAAAAGTCAACAACCAAAATTTAAAATAGAAACCAACAATTGCTTCGTAGGTTTCCAAAATAAAAAACGAAAATTAAAGATTATTTGTTAGGTACAAAAGCAGTATGTTTAGTTACACCCGCACTTAGCGCTAACTTGAGTAAAAATCAAGAATTTCTTTTAAGAATGCGTCTTTATATATTAATGTCAATCTTTATCCTCATGTATTATTCTATGAATATTATCAAGATTCTAAAACAGACATAATTTTAGAACTTGCATTTTCTAGTTTCTTGGCAACACGTTTTCAGAATCTTGAGAGTTTGTTGTCGAAACCTGTCATCCGTATTTTTTTTCTTTTCCTTTTTTTTTTTTTTTGATAGGGGTATTTTTTTTCTTTAGTTACAATACAAACGAGCTTTCATATATTAAATGCTATTAAAATTTTGGCAATAAAAATGAATAGCAGAAAATGAAAGTATTATTAAATGAGTTCAAACAATTTGTTTAAGACATATTTGAACATTGATAAAGAAAAATATAAACTTAATTAATAATAGTAAATTATTTTTTTTTATTTTTCTTATAGTCAAAATAATTGTTGCAAAAACTCATGAAACTAAACAAATTTTTTCTCTATAGTTGTGAAATTTTATAAAAATCAAAATTAAAAATTAAAAATCACAATCATACTAAATAAAATTTTATCTCTTATTTGGTTTTAAAAAAATAGAGGGAATGAGAGACTTTTGATACACTAAAATACAAAAAAATAAAAATAAAAATAAAAGCATTATAAGGGAAAGCACTTGTTGTCCCCTTCTTTCCGATTAAAAAAAAAAATTAATAGAGAAATTTCTCCTCTTGCCTTTCTTTTCTCTCCTCAATGCAAACAAACTACTAATATCTTTCTTTTTGGTCAGAAAAAAAAAATCGTTTAGTTGAAATTCGCAAGTCAGGGTGCGTGTCCTCTGCAATAGTTCCTCTGTAATGGTTGCGTAAATGCTTATTTTTCCTTTTGGCCAGAAAAAAAAAATCGTTTGGTTGAAATTTGCAGGTTAGGGACTTAGGGTCCTTGTCCCTCGTAATAGTTTTGCAAACGCTATAGGGCAATTACAACGAAAACATCAAACTCTTAGATACGGTAAGTAGGTAAATAAGTACCATTTGTGTAATCCCTTTCAGGCTGACATTACATACATTTGCTGGTCCTAAAATGTGAATATACTTTAGCAAAATAAAATGATATGGACACTACCTCTTCAAATAATTGGAGCCTTTTTTACTAAAAATTTATCTAAAATTAATTATTATTTTTATTTTTAAAAGTAGACATATATTTTTTCCTATTTTAATCCTATTGTTCCCTTAACTTTAGTTATTTAATCTATGAGTAACGTAAGTAAAAATATAAATCTCAAGAATTAAAAATAAAGAAATAAATTATCAAGATTTTATATAAATATAATATATAAAACTTATGTATAAGTGAATTTTAATTTAAACGAAAGTTATTTTGGAGGGCACTAATAAATACACACCTTTATTTAACACATTTATTATAAATTTTTATTTTTTATCTAAAATTAAAAACACAAAAATTAAAAATGTAATCATACATACAATATAAGAGAATCAATTAAATTAATTGCTTTTATATTATATTTTAATAATTAAACTGATTAAATATAATATATATATTAAACTAGAGAATGTACAAATCATTTTTTTATTTCAGAGCACAGAAAAAAATAACAAGCAACACCTACTCCTTTTTTTCTTTTTTTTTCTTTTTTGTTTATTTCTCTCACTTCGGACTAGCACACTTAGAAACAATTTAGGTGAAAACAAAAAAAATACGATGATTATTGTTTAAAATATCATATTTCTCCTTAATAAAAGCATTTTATATGTCAGAATAATGGAAGTGTATTTGAAAAATGAGTATTTAATGTCTTTATAAATACAAAAGTAAAACAACTAAATAAAGTCATAATTTAAAAAGTGAGATAAACTGAAGGTGTAAGACTTATTAACGTTAACAACTAAATTAATTTTTTGATGAAACGTTAAAAACTGAAATTATATTGCTAATAATGATTAATTAAATAAGCATATTACTACTATTGGAAATGTGAATATATTCCTAATATATATATAAATTATTTATTAGTAAGGGATCAAGAATAATGATTAAAAGACTAAAATACCTTAATGAATTAATATGCAAGGAAGATTAATTAAGGATTTTTGAATGATTTCATAAATAATACTGACATTTTGTGGATATCATAACATCTTGATTTTTATTTTTTATTTTTTAAATAAGTATGGAGTAATGGTCAAATAAAATTGCAATTAACAAGAAATAATTACAAATCATAACACTGGGCTTAATTTTAAAAACTCATTAAAATTATTTTTGAATTCACAAGAATCAAATTGCACGCATGGTTTAAATATTACAATTTTCTCTTTTTTCTTTTTTTAAAGGGGGCAATTAGTATCCATTTTAGAAATGGGGGAAAAAGATCTCATGGGGCTTGAATATACAATCCATGAGAGGTGATTCCCATTAACCAGTGACCACAGGCACCAGGGAGAAGAATTGTGATTGATTTAAGATTACAATGATAAATTGTAAGGACTTTTTATTCATAAATTAATGGGTCAATGAAGGAGATAATGTGCAAGGGAAATGGATATGGTGGCAGACAAAAGGACTATGGATACCCGCTTTTTATTGTTTTGAAGTTATTATTTATAATGAATTGATAAAAATTTTATGTCTTCTTTTTATTCATTTTCTAAATGAAATGAATGAAGAAAAACTGAGAAAAAAGGAAATATTTGTTGTGAAACTGCCAAGAAGAAATAGAAGCTCGCACAAGTTGGATAAACGTGTGGGGCCAATTTATGACAAATCATGAAGTCATGGAGTAGTTGTTTACTTTGTACATAAAGGCTTAAGGAACATTGTGGTAATGGCACACAGACAACACAGTTAACACTCATTGCTTGATCTGAGTATACGCAATCGCTTCTTATTTGGATGGATTCGAAATGGTTGTATGCAATACTTACACTCTTCTTGTTAGAAGGGATGTGGTGCCAAGGGTGTTTGGAGCAAGAGAGAATTGCTCTTCTGCAACTCAAGCAATTCTTCAATGATCCTTGGGGGCTGACAAATTGGGGGAGAGGAAAGGAAAATTCAGATTGTTGTCGATGGGAAATGGTACAGTGCAACCCCTCTACTGGACGAGTTATTGAACTCCATCTTGATGACATAACGAGAAGTGGGAGTTACAAGTATTTGAATGCCTCTTGGTTTCTTCCATTTGAGGAATTGAAAAGTCTCAATTTGGCTGAGAACGGAATTGCTGGTTGCATTGAAAATGAAGGTTTTTATCTATCTACATACCTTTCAACTTAATTATTTGATTATTAAAGCATATTTCAATATGCATATAAGCAAATTCATTTCATTCCTGTTCTCCTATATATTATTTTTTAAAAATTGAAGCAAATTAAACAACCTTTGATATGTTTGCAGATTTCCATAGGCTTTCAAAGTTGAGCCATTTGGAATTCCTTGACTTGAGTTGGAATGACTTCAATAGCAACATTTTGTCATCTTTAAGTGAGCTTTCATCTCTCAAGTCTCTAAATCTCACAGGAAACTACTTTCAAGTCTCAAACCATACTAATGGTAAAATTTGATCGATTTCAAATCATCTTTGGTTTATGGGAACCCATTTCCCTATTCATTTCCTCTTGCAATTTGAAACTTTTTTTACTCTAACAATTGAATCAATAATTAACTTGTATAGATTGCAACAAACTGTATTACAGGTTTTAAGAGGCTTTCTAAGTTGAGGAGTCTGGAAATCCTTCATCTAAGTGACAATTACTTGAATAATAGTATTTTAACATCTTTGAGTGAGCTTCCATCTCTCAAATCTCTATATCTAGTCAACTGCAACTTAATGATAGCATCAAATCATACGGAGGGTAAAATTTTAATTTATTGTTGTTATAAGTTTACCAAAGTTGATGCAATATTGATTATTTTAATTAAAGACATTATGCTTTTGATTTGTTAATTTATAGCAGCTGATTTAGAAAACCTGTCAAGACTTGGCCACTTGGAATTTCTCGACTTAAGTTACAATATGGATTTGAACGACAATATACTATCATATCTGAGTAGTGTTTCATCTTTGAAAACTCTTATCTTGCAAAATTGTGGACTAAAGGGGACTTTGAGTACTAGAGGTAATTCAGTTTGCTTTTTCCTCATTCTCATTATTATTATAATTTTCTCTTAAAAAGATATGTTATATTGTAATATTTTATTGAAATTAAACATAGTTTTCTTTCTTTCGTTTTGATGGTGAGCTTGATCAGAACTCAACCAATTTATCTTTGGTGTATGGGAAACCATTTCACTTTTGTTACTCTTGCAATTTATATTTTTTTTATTCTCAAAATTGAAGCTATAATTAACTTGTATGAGTTACAATAAATTGTATTGCAGGTTTCATGAGATTTTCTAATTTGAGGAATTTGAAAGTCCTTGATCTAAGTGACAATGACTTAAATACTAGTATCTTAACATCTTTGAGTGCGCTTCCATCTCTCAAGTCTTTAAGTTTGACAAACTGCAGCTTAATGATAGCATCAAACCACGAAGGTGGTAAAAATTTAACAAATTTTATTATATGTTTACTAGAAATAATATAATATTGATTATTTTAAATAAAGACTTTATGTTTTGAATTGTTAATTTGCAGGAGTTGATTTTGAAAAGCTGTCAAGACTTCGCCATTTGGAATTTCTCAGCTTAAGTAATAATAAGGACTTGAACAACAACATTCTGTCATATTTAAGTAGTTTTTCATCTCTAAAAACTCTAATGTTGTCCAATTGTAGACTAAATAAGTCTATGAGTACAAGAGGTAATTAAGCTTGCTTTCAACCATTTTCATTTTTATTATATTTTTTCCTTAAAAACATGTGTTATCCTGTAATATTTTATTGGAATTAAACATATTTTTCATTCTTTTATTTTGATGATGAGTTTAAACAGAATTGAGTAATTTGAGAAACTTAAGGGTGTTAGACATAAGCTCTAATAACATTGAAAGCCTCAAATCTTCCCAAGGTACATTTATTTAATTTGTTTCCTAAGTTAATATTTAATATTAACAAAATTAGTTGTAACGAGATTATATATTTTTGGCAGATGAACAAAATTTGAGGTTTGTCCATCTAAAGGCCCTTGATTTGAGTAATAATTTCTTCAACAACAATGTGCTATCTTTCGTTAGTGAATTTTCAAATCTAAAATCTCTAAATATGGAAGAAAACAATCTAAAAGGATTAGTAGATGTCACAAGTAAGTTGAGGCATACTTTAATCTTTTTTTTTTTTTTCTTGTTAAAAGCAGTTTATTTGTTACTTATGCATGATCTAATAACTTTCTTTGTTGCTCTCCTAGAATTTGATGCTTTAAAAAGCTTAGAAGTGCTGTTCATGAGCTACAACAAACTCAACCAATTCATTTCCACCAATGGTATTGACGAAATGATATTGTGACTATATCTTATCTATTTTACTTTCTGTTTTGATAGAGAAATATCCTTCAACTTATTATATGCATGTTTTGTTCAAAAGTTTTCAACATAATCTTCATTTTCTTTTTATCATCCACAGCAAATACAAGCTTTAGCAAGTTAAAAACTCTCTATCTTAATGGAATATTTCCTGAGGAAAGTAGTGTGCCAGCACAGTTATCACTAGAGGCATTCCCGTCACTTAAAAAACTCTACTTGGAAGAAAACTATCATCTAAACCAAACCTTGCTTATTCAAAGTAAGTATTTTTCAAATCAATTTCTATATTCTCATAATTTTTTTTGCAACAACACATATTCATAGCGAATACGATAACCATTTTGCAGCTTCGCAAGTTTTGAGCAATCTAGAGGAACTTTTCTTGGATGAGTCCCCTCTTAGCATAAACTTTTTGCAAAATATTGGTGCATTGACTTCTCTCAGGTCAATATCTCTAAGTAATTGTGAGTTCACAGGAACCTTGCCAACTCAAGGTTGGTGTGATTTGAAGAACCTTGAAGAGATAGATCTTTTTGGAAATGAATTGGTAGGGATACTACCTTCTTGCTTGGCTAACTTGACATCTCTTCGACTTTTGGATATCTCCCAAAATCTATTCACTGGAAATATTGCGTACTCTCCTTTAACTAATCTTATTTTGCTTCGATATCTCTCAATTTCAAATAATAAATTTCAAGTTCCAGATTCATTCAAGTCATTTGCAAACCATTCCAACCTTAAAGTCTTCTTTAGTGATTTCAATGAATTGGTCCCAGAACATGATCATGTTCAACAAAGGGTTCCCAAGTTCCAGCCAAAAGTCTTTAGTTTGTCAAACTGTAGAGTACATGAAGAACTCACCAAACCTCCTAGCCTACTCTATCACCTATATGACTTGAGATATGTTGATCTTTCATTTGACAAATTTATGGGAGCCTTACCTTATTGGTTGTTTGAAAATAATACAAGATTACAAGTTATTATCCTGAAGAACAATTCTTTCATGGGTTCTTTCCAGTTGCCATCACACCCTAATCTTGATGTTTTGGAAATAGACATTTCGAATAACCAAATACGAGGTGAAGTCCCATTAAATATCAGTCTAATATTTCCATCTTTAACATGGTTATTCTTGTCTGGAAATGGCTTTGGAGGAGAATTTTTGAAGTGGTTGGTTGGTATGAACTCTTTAGGATTTTTAGACTTGTCTAGCAACCAATTCTCTGGAACATTACCAAAAGAGTTTCTTACGGGAAGCTCATTGTATGATCTTAGACTTTCAAATAACAACCTAATCGGTAAAATACCTCCTAGTGTATTTAGGTCACAGTCATTGACTGCATTATATCTAGACAGAAACAAATTTGAAGGAGAGATATCCAATATCCACTTTTCTAGGTCCTCAGACCTAGACACATTGGACATTAGCAACAACAATTTGTCAGGAGAGCTCCCAAGATGGACAAAGAATCTCACTTCTTTGACTGAATTGGATTTGTCCAACAATCACTTTGAGGGTTCAATTCCAAAGGAATTTTGCTATAATGCTCACCTTTGGCTTCTAGACCTGTCTCACAACAATTTGGCTGGGTCTCTACCACATTGCTCTAGACCATCTTCACAATACTTATCACATGTCTATTTGAGCAGAAATAGACTAAATGGTCCATTAACACATTCATTCTTGAACATATCTTCATTGAAGATACTAGATCTGGGAGAAAATAGCCTTTCTGGAAGCATTCCAAAATGGATCGGCACCCTTTCTCGCTTGAATATCTTACGTCTGAAGGGTAATCTCTTTTTTGGTGAAATTCCCAATGAAATATGTGAGTTGGACCAACTACGAATCATGGACTTGTCTCATAATCAACTTTCTGGTCATATACCTTCTTGTTTGGGACATTTAATTGCTGCTCCACCATCAATTTTACATTTCAGTGAGTTTTGGAGAATTTCAACATTTGGCGTTGACACATCTACAGAAATGGAAATCAAATTAATGTGGGATGCAGATACACAGTTTGATGAGTACATACAAGATCGGGTAGAACTTGTTACCAAGTGGTGGTCTTACACTTATGAAGGCAACATTCTTGGTTACATGTCTGGAATTGATCTTTCTTGCAACCAATTAGCAGGCCAAATCCCATTTGAAATGGGAAACTTAAGTGACATTCATTCACTTAACTTGTCTCACAACAATCTAATTGGACCCATACCTTCTACCCTCTCAAATCTGAAGCAACTTGAGTGCATGGACCTTTCTTTCAATGATTTGAATGGTGAGATTCCATCTCAACTTACTAAGCTAAACTCTTTGGCCATTTTTAGTGTTGCACACAATAATCTCTCAGGTCTTATCCCATATGGAAAAGGACAGTTTGGAACATTTGACAGCAGTAGTTACGAGGGAAACCCTCTTCTTTGCGGACCTCCATTGGAGAAAAGTTGCAAGGAAACTGATTCACAACGAAAGGTACCAAATTCCATAAATGAAGAAAGAAAAGGCAATTTGATAGATATGGATGTTTTCCATATAAGCTTTTTGGTTACTTATGTGGTTGTTTTGGTATCAATTGGAGTAGTCTTGTACATAAATCCATATTGGCGACGGGCATGGTTTTATTTGATTGAGAGGTGCATCACCAATTGCTACTACTTAATCTTGGATAATATTCTAAGATTCTAGTATTGTAATAATGTAACTAATTTATGTCTGTTAGGATGTACCTTCATCCATGCCAAGTTTTTATAATGCAATTCAATTTTCTTGAATTAGTACTACTTTATTTACTTTTCATTGATTCCTACTTCGCACAATTTTTAATTAAATTGTGTGTTCCATCTCTCTAGGCTACTCTAGTTGATCAAGTAGGTAGTTATGACTAATTTAGATGGAGACCATTATTCTAGACTTTAAAATTCGTTGTCAATGGCAAGTCAGGGAGCATCATTTCTTAGTGGGCAGATTGAAGCAGGTGATTTTTTAACAGAGTAATTCAATTACTGAAAGGAATCATGGTTTTATCTTCATTTCATAGTGCACAATCTTGAGCTTGATTGCTTTATGCCCAAATTGATTGCTAGAGTTCCAATTTAGTTGAGTCAAAGGAATATATGTGAAAGCATACATGTGATGGTTTTGGATACTGGAGTTCTAGGTTAAGTGCTGTACTTCTCTGTTTTTTTTTTTTGTTTCGAGACTAATTTGCGTGATGAGGTTGATTTTTTAAATTTTTTTTGGTGGAGATTTTGAGAGAATGGTTAAGGTAGATTAGAAGCTTTTTATGCCATGTACACCAAGTGTTCGATAAATTGCTTGTATGGGATGGGGCTATGTTGTTTTTTTGTTTTGGTGGGATAGTTCATTGTTATCTTGCATCTTATCTTTAAAGTTGCATTAGGAGTTGGGTTTGGATTCCTTTTAATTTGTGTATATTTATAATATGGGTTTGAGTATTTGTTGCACTCATTTGAATAAAATAATTTTAGATAAGAAAAAGAAAAAAAAAACTAATTTAGGTGGTATTACGTAGGGTTGAAGATGATGCAGTGCTGTTAACTCTGTTGATACCAGTAGCCATAAAAATAAGTTTGATTTTTATAATTCAACAAGGAGAATATGAAGAAAAATGAAGATTAATAGAAAACAAAATACTGAATACAAAAAAATGGCATGACCCAAAAAACAAAATACAAAATCTCAATCAAATAGTCTTTCACATCTACAAACAAATTCGATTCTCGCAAAAAGGCTTCTTTTGATCCTCATAGTTTATCACATGCATAAATCTTAAATTGCAACCTAAACTAAATCAGACAAAACTGGTTTTACAAATACATTGCATGCAGAAGATTTGCCCTATAACTTTAGCCCCTTGAATCACTCATAAGTAAAAGAATTAATAGACCGATAGAATAGTAACACCTGTTAAAACCATCTTTACTTCATCTCCCCTTTCTTCATAAAATGGGTAACCAAAAATCTCAGAACTACTTCTCAAAAGCCTCTTGAAAACAAGCTGATTTTTCAAACAGAATCAAGCCTCTGTTATTTGGAGAATAAGCAACTCTCACAGGCAGAAGGAAAATCAAATCCAAGTCAAGCATAACCACGCCGAAAGAGAAAGAAATCTACAACTAATGTCTGAAGAATATCAAGGCTTTCTTATTCAAAATCATGACCAAACCGAAGCATTGAAGAAACTAAACCATAGTTAACTCCTGACAGGGTGTAACTAAACAAGCAACAAGCTCACTTGGGCAAAAATGTAAAATTATATGCATTGAGAAAAAGGAAAAAAAAATGAAACTATTACCTGTTATTAATATGGTAACCCATAGAGCTTACATAACATGTGAGACTTCCATATAACTAGTGATGCTTAGGTGGTGGTCTTTATACTTTGGCGGTCTTCGTAATTCAATTTTTATCTAGTTAATTGAAGTGTTTTCCATCAAATTTTCAAGCTTTAAATGAAAATTTCAAAATTCTAAGCTTTATTATGATATGGGAAATAAATCAAAAAAATTGTCAAAGAAAAGTCAAGATTAATTGAAATTATTTCACTCCATACTTAGTTGAAAATATTTAAAATTGCATATTTTATTGAGCAAGGACAAGATTGTAGAAATATGGAACAGAGGCGATCAGATGACACAAAACAAAGTGTAGAAGATGAACATGTTGGGCTTCAATTGCAAACCCAAAGTCACCCTAAACCCATTTAAAGTTCAACCCAAAACCCATGAAACCCATTTCGACAAGCCCAAACCCAGTCCAATTCCCATTAAATCCTCCCTTCAAACTCACCGGTTAACCCCTTTTTAGTTTTTAGTACTCGTATTAATTAATTAAAGAAAATCTAGACCGAAAGATAATAGAGGGAAAAGATACAGACCTTGCTCTTTTCTCCTCGCCGTTCTGTTCTGCCCCATTCTCTTTCTTCTTCTTTGCCTGTTCATTGATCCCCTTCCATGCAAGCTCTGCATTCTCAACACGCGCACCATGCCACATGGAAGCACAACAGAGAGCCCTGCGATGGTCCCCTTCTTGGTGTTCAAGATCTACTGACCAGCCCCAATTGTCTTGCTTCTTCCCAGAAGAAAAGAGGTCAAATTTGGCCTTAAGCAATCAAAGGTGGAGATCAAAGGAGATCAAATAAGAGAGTGAGAATCTGAAAATGGGTTAGGGTTTTGTGAGTTTTTGCATAAATAGGCATTAGAAAGGGTAATCGAAGGAGGAGAGCCGATAAAAAACAAAGTGACAATAGAGAGAGAAGGGTGAGTTTTTTTTTTTTTTTTTTTGAATCAGCTAATGAGTTGTGATCGAGCATCCATAAGCTCGAATTGGAAAAAGATTTTTGTCTGTAATCCCACCTTCAGATTGCAATTCGAAAATGATTCTTGTTCAATCTAAAGTATTTCTTTCGATTTTGTGGGAATACAGCTTAAATTCGAGCTTAAAGGACTGACCCAACATTGGGTCTCTCCAAGTGGTCTTTTCCTTTTTGGATCTTGGGTTGCACACCATTGAGCTACTTAGACCCAACATTGGTTCTCCTAGAGTTTAGTTCTTTATTTAATTTTATTCTATTTTCACCCTTAGAATTTCATGGTTATTGATCTGATTTAAGTATATGAGTTTATGCCTTGTGTTTAAATCCTGTCCTCACGAGAATTTTAAGGATTTCACCGTTTACCTATTCTTGTCTCGTAGTTTCAGTGAGAGACTAAGCTGAACTTCCCGTTAAAACATACTTTTACTTTTTATCTTAATAAATTCGTAACTTTTAATCCATCATTTTATATTATAGTATTTTTAACATTTATTTTAATAAATTTATAAGTTTTAGCCCATCACCTTATACTATGATACCTTTAGTCTTTCAGCTATATGAATTGAAGAAAATAACCCTTATTTAAAGTCAGTTTATAATATTTTGTTAGTTTTGTTAATTAACTGTTAACTCTGTTAGCTAATTACTAGTGTTTCATTAACATTTGGTTAATGAAACTAACAAATAAAATTGAATTTAAATTTCATATTTTCTATAACAGATGCTAACAGTTAGTTAACATAACTAACAGTCAACTAATAAAGTTAATAGTAACTAACAGAATTAACAGAATGTTATAATCTAACCTTAAGTAAGAGTTATTTTCTTCAACTCGTATAGGTAAGAGGTTAAAAATGTCATAATATAAAATAGAGACCTAAAACTTACAAATTTATTAAGATGAAGGGTTAAAAGTGTCATAATATAAAGTAAGGGACTAAAACTTACAAACTTATTAAAATAAGAGCCTAAAGTAAGTTTTTGTTGAAGCTTCCCATGGTATCAATAATAATAATAATAATAATAACAATGACAATAATAACAATAATAATTTTATTATTATTATTATTATTGTTATTATTATTGTTATCATTTCTTGTGCTTCTAATATACTCATAACTAAAATATGTACCTCTTTTTGGCAAAAAGATTTGGAGTGCAGAAGGTAAAGCATGTCAAAGTCATTGTCTGCAAACTATGAAGTAGGAACCAACTGCAAGCTGAATTTTTCAAAATCACGGAAAATGATATGTGTAAATGATTGCTTTGCTTGAGGACTAACAAAAGAATTCAGTAATCTCTAGCTAACAAAGTACAGAATTTACAAAGCCCGTTGTATTGTTTTTATGTAGAAACAAGTAATTCATTGTTTATATATAAATAAAAATGGTAAGCAACATTGAGTCTCCCCAAGTTTTGTTCTTTATTTAATCTTATGATCTATTTTAACCTGTTTTTGCACTTCGAAGTTCATGGTCGTTGATATGATTTGAAGATATGAGTTTATACTTTGTGTTTAAATCTTGTCCTTGATGAAAGTTTTAAGGATTTATTATTTACCGGCTTCTGTCTTTGCAGAGAATCTGTTGAAAAAAAATGGGACCATGGGCTGACCCAACGGGTTCCCATTCTTATTTTCTTCGTGTGACTATTGATGCACTAAAATCACCCTAACAAGTGTACTAGTCGCTCCAAGTAATATAATGATGAGAGAGTGTCGAACCCACGAGAATTGTATCTAATTAAGTACCAAAATAATTAATCTAAATTTATTTAAACAATCAAATAGAAAGAAATTTTAATTAAAAATAATAAAAAAAAAATAACAAATAAACCTAACCAAGATAGGAGGTACTAAAGCATTGATTTCACCATAATCAATCAATATAAATTCTGAATTACCGAATTGTTAAGTATTATTGCATGTAATGGCGGATTTCCCTAAATTAATTAACTAGCTTTCTCAAGTCAAGTTAATCCTTCATTAGTTTGTTAAATTAATCATATCTCTATGTAATTTTAAACAAACTAATGAGCATTAGATTCTATGGAAACCTCTAACTTAAGAAGGGGGAGCTACTAACTCTCTTCTCTTCCTCCACTACCACATGTGAGCTAATTACCTCTCGGTCTCATAGTCTAGCACACGGTTTATGTTATTATTGGTCTAATCTACGCAATTCTTTTTCAAGTTCATGCATAAATCACTAAATCAATTGAAAGATGATCAGGCTTCCAATGCATTAAGTTCAATAATATAAACTCCTCATGCGAATAACTTTAATTGAAAATATAAAATCACAAAATCCATATTGAATTGATTAGGTTACATCATAACCCTACTAGAATAAATCATTTCATAATAAAAATAATAAAATCTGAAATCACAATTATGAACACAAAAATATATAAGGAAAAACAAAACCTAATTTGAGATAATTGAAATCTTTGATTTTTTTGTTGATGGATCCTCTATTTTGACCTCCAAGAGTGCCCCAAAAGAGGGCTGCCACCAGCCTCCCAAGACTCTCCCTAATTCTGAATTTGGATGGATATTTATAGGATTTTAGAAACCCTAATTGAAATAGAAGTTAGACTTGGAATAAAAATAGGAAACTGAATTTTAAATGCTGATCGCGTGGTTCTGACACTTCGGATTACGTGTTGACACCAAATAGGAAACAGAATCTGATTCTGGACGTTTAGCGCATGGTGTCGACACCCCGATCATGTGTCGACACTACACCCGTGTCGGGTTTTGGCCTCCTTTTGCAATTTCTTCAATGGTAAAATAACAGAATTAGTTCCTAACTTCTGGGTTCTGCACAAGTTGATCCTCAAGTCTCTGATCTCTTCAATTTACTTCTAAAAAGTATGATTTCTTCCAATTAAATCCTTTCCTACACAAAGAATGGAAACCATGTAAAATCAAACCAAATCCCATAAAACCCATCCAAATATCAATAATATCAAAGTAAAAATTCTCTATTAATATGTATATAAATTTAGCTCATCAACTATCTTGTTGTCTTGTTTGAATGGAAGAGTGCGCTGAGATTCATCCCCTTTGTTCCCTAAACTCTTTTTTGTTAATTCGATGGTTCTATTGGGTGGTTTTAGTCCTTCTACAAGTCAACCCTGACATGTTTTGCTTCAAATCATGAGTTTTATCTTAAATTCTGGTGTTATGTCATGTTTTTTTATTAGTACTGTTGGAAAAAAAAAAAGAAGAAGAAGAAGAAGAAGAAGAAATTGCTCGGTTAATCAGTTTAACTAAAGACATAGCATTTGCCTTTTGGTTGTATTCTTGCCACTTGATGTACTCACTACTAGAAAAATGACGTATACGGACCGATCATATACGGACCGAATAGTGTCGGTCTGAACACAAAAATATACGGACCGATATCGGTCTGGATATGTTAATGAACATATT